GAACTATCATTTTCTTGCTCAATAATGCCATCTTCAGCATTTAGTTCTCGCGACTGCGTTGATTCTGTTGCCTGCGTTCTCGATGAACTTGCCTCTGAATCGGCGGAAAAAACAACCAAAGTCCTTGCAACCAGCTCGCTTTTGCTGCCACCAGTCTTCACACCTTTAGATTTTAAAATTTCTTTAAGCTGTTTCACTGTTTTTTTCTTCAGATCTTTGATCATCAAGTTCGTGTCTGTTATCGCCATGGTATAAATATCATACTGACGACTTCCGTATCCCAACTAGGTCAAGTTGGATGGTGCGCATGCGCACTAAGCATTTCCGGTTGAATGCGCAAAAAGGCTATTGTGACCATAGACATACCTTAAACATTACATAGACAAATGTGTCTCATGAACTTGTACTCTTGTCAGTGCAGAAAGCTCAACTTGATCATTGCAAATTTTAATGTACTTCAACATGGAAATTAGTACAGAAAGTACAGAAACAGACAAGTTCTTTTATTATCTAGTCCTTAGTCGCCATTGCTTCCAGCAAACATCACACCAGTTTTTAATAAAACATTGCTTTAAAAGAAAACAAGTTGCATTATGTTTTTGTTTTTTTATTTATGCAAAGTTGGATTTATTGTGTTGTTTCCATGACGATATTGCTATCTGATAATGACTTTTTTCATCACTGTTAATGACAGTCGCACATTACATAACTGTCAATCTGCTGATTCATGGTTGGCCAAAAAGCTTTTGCTCTGTAACTATGACAACAGTGATGTCATTGATGATGTAAGCTACATATCCTCCCAAAGCTCCAAATGCCGTGATAAATGATAAAAGTGGTTATTCTCCTTTTTATGCAGCCGAGTCTTATCATCTTAAATCAACTCTTGTGATTTGTTGGTATAATGTTGACTGGTCAGTATCTGCTAGATGCAAAGTGCCATATATTACTTTAGCTTAGAACAGCTTAGTTCCATGGTGATATCATTTTCAGTTGGTTATAATCAAGAAATTTTGAGCAGCAAACATTTTACTGGGTCCTTGAAACGAGCTAGCATAACATTTGTAAAATCTAATTCTGCGAACTCTTCTAAAATTATTGATTATGAACAAATCTTAACAGTGAAAATTAAGTGTTTGGTTTAATGATAGTGAGCTTAAAAGGCAGTGGTTGCATTACTATTGTTTATATACTAGTTTGTAGAATCCATTGTTGATATCCACCTTAAACTGATTCATAGAATGATACATGAAAAAAGATGGGAATGTTTGCAGTTTATCTGATTATTTATCGTGTTCTTCCTGACATTATCTTAACTGTTTGTTTGCATCTTACAGGTCAACAAGAGAGAGATGACGCTGGATCTGGTGCCACAGAGCCGCCAGAAAGTAGTGAAGTCCGGATCATCAACCTTAACAGACCCCAGGAAGTGAAATTTGTGCATAACTCTGTCAGGTTAGTGTCAAGTTATTTTATAAACATTTCAGGGAATAAATAAAATAAAATTGCCAAATATGAAAGGTTTTTTTTATTACTTATTGCTATTTTTGATTGTCTTCGCCAAATTTTTTGTCATGGAATTGATTTTCAGAAATGTTTGAGTAAAGGGCCTACATCCTGGTACTTGACCGTGGGTAAAGGGCCTACATCCTGAGACTTTACTATTGGTAAAGGTCACACATCCTGGTACTTTACTATGGGTAAAGGTCACACATCCTGGTACTTTACTATTGGTAAAGGTCACACATCCTGGTACTTTACTATTGGTAAAGGTCACACATCCTGGTACTTTACTATGGGTAAAGGTCACACATCCTGGTACTTTACTATGGGTAAAGGTCACACATCCTGGTACTTTACTATGGGTAAAGGTCACACATCCTGGTACTTTACTATGGGTAAAGGTCACACATCCTGGTACTTTACTATGGGTAAAGGTCACACATCCTGGTACTTTACTATGGGTAAAGGTCACACATCCTGGTACTTAATATAAATTTGAAGTATAGATTGTGAAGCAATATTTGTTATTGCTTATAAAGAAATGTGTGAAGAATCATCCTTTAGTAAAGAACTGAATATGATTACTATGGGGGAGGTGCTCTAAACTGACAATGATTTTTTCTCGTGAGATACTGCACAACCTATAGTCAGGAGGGAGGGACCAGCCCCCTTTTTACTTGATGTCTCTATGGTTACGTAAAACAGTTTGGAAATTTACAATCTACTCGAAATAGGTGAAGAAAGAACAGAGATGATAATTGTCTTCTGATATTTGCTGAATGTGTTAATATATTCTTTATATCTGCTAAAATAAAATTACCCTCATGTCAAATATTTGATTAAAGAGAATAAGATGATACAAAAATTGTTTCAATTATAAAACTAACGAAAACGCAATTTAATCAATATATTTATAGAGACAGGAAAGTATAGTAATTAGACCTGACACTAGAACCCATCAGTCATTTATTAAGTTGTACAGCTGTGTTGAATTCAGGGTTATTTAAATATGAATTCACTAGAGACTACTTGGTTTGGATTATAATTCATGAGCATGGTAAAGTGTTGTGTACACTATTAAGTATATTGTTGTAAATGTCCATATTTAGAGGAAGTAACATCTATGGGTAAAAGGGGGTTGATCACAAATTGATAGTTTGACTGTGTGACATGAAATGAACTCATTTTATGCTGTACTATTATTCTGTGGTATTGAGACTGAGAAGAATATACAGTATGTGATATGCTATCTGTACATGTGTTCCCTGATTCTTGGTTGTGTCAGCCCTTACTTCGCTGGGTGTAATGTCTCAAAGGAAAAAAAGGTGGAGTGGAAAATATGCTTTTTACATGCTAATTGCTTGGCTTCTGTTCGGGAGAAAAAAAAAGTTTGTCTGCCTCTGACACTCTTTTCATCCTCATTTGAACCTAATATGGCCCCCTGTTGGAAATAGTACAAAGTACCGAGATATTTGTGATAAAGTTACGCAAAATAACTGAATATGTTTTAACCGTTAGAAATGTAAAAATTGATCTTATTCAGGATCATTTGTGATTACAAAGGTTCAACGCAGAGATACCATTTCCCGTGCACTTGTTTTAATTATCCATGTCTCCTTATGATTATGATTAGGAAAACATTACTGTTACAAATTAACAAAACTTTATCTCACACATACTGTGGAATACTTTATTTTCGCTGGAATTAATTTTCACTGAAAAGACTTTTTGGGCGTTCTTTATGGAATTTATTTTCACTGATTTTTGATGAGTTGAATGTGAAATATAGGAGAAAAAGTATATTCACTGGATTTTATTTTCACGGAATCATCCCTTCAGCGAAAATAAATTCCAAGCGAAAATAAAGTATTCTACAGTAG